TCATAAACACCTTTTCCAGTCTTGAAATCAATTGCTTCTTATCCCTTTCAATTTTGTAACAACTTGTAAGTACCACCAAAAAAAAGAAAAAATGATTTTGTGAAGATTTTTCTTGAATCTAGGTTTTAGAGGGGTTGTCTTTGTCTAGAAGGTCTTTGGGGGCGGAGGGGGGGGGAAGGGGGGGCGGCGGGAATGACGAAAATTACCCTTTCTTGGGGCCTATTTATGTTCTTGGGGAGGGGCAGCAAGTTATCTGCCTTGTGCCAAGGCGCTAGACGGCACCTCTGTCACCAAGGCAGACCTAGGCGCCCCAATTTGCCTGGGAGAGGTGGATATGGTCTCAGCATGTCTCAAGGTGCTGAAGGGCCACCTTTCAAAGCATTAGGGTATTTTTACTTGATCTAGGTACAATGAATTTCTCAAATAATTTTGTAGTTTTGATTTGCTCTATGTGCTTTCCTGCCTTTGATTTCTCTTGGTTTCTTTGCCTACTTGTTAGAGAGCATTTCTTTCCTCCTCCTACTTGAAATTTTGACTATTTTGATTCTATCCTGTTATGCCTATTTGACCTTTCTCTTTAATGTTTGAGGTTTTTTTTCGATAACCAACATTCCAAGCGTCTACTTATCAAGTTGCACAAGAAGTGCTTACAAATGAATAAGCATACTAGTGGGAAATTCATTATTTGTGACAATTTCCAACTTAGTTTTGTCATGTGAAGATTTCAGCTTTAGGAGCCAAAAAAGAAACTAAAATAGCTTAGTGGCTACAACTTTCTTTCTAGAAGCTGCTTCGCTTTAGGAGCAATTTGGTTGCTGTAGAACCACATAGCTTGCTCCGAAGCTATTGCATTGATAGGCAGGCTTACCGAATAAAGCGGGCAAGCTGTTGAATCCTTCAAGTGCAATTCATATCATACTTGTGCGCACAAGTCATTTCTTGTGCACGCTCTAGTGAGCAATAGTTCTGCAAGGTAATTGCTCAGGCGTTACTAGCTTGGCCTGCTTGGTTGTACATCTACTTATAGTTATTTATATTATATTTATACCAAGCATTATTCTCGTTTCATAGCTAGATCCAATCTCTTAGTCCTTGCACAACGGAAAAAGAATTTCACGTTCTTCCTTTCGGGAAGGGAAGATTAGGGAAATCCTATTGATTGCTGCTTTCTCCATACCTCCGGGAAAAGCATGAAAGAAAAAAGGCTTTTGTTCTGCCTAAATATGCTGAGCTGAAATCTTCACATGTAACGACTTTCTTTGGGACCTGGCTAATTGAAATGTTTGCCTGGTGATGTTATTTTTCGCTCTTGATTTTTCCTTTGGTCACATTAGGGGCAGTCCATATTTTGGGGTTACGGCCTTTGAAAAAATGGCCGGTTTGGTCCACTTCACTGTTCCAGGGTGACTGATTTTTGTAACCCCATTCATCAGCAAAATGCTGCCAAAATGTCTTCACTCAGCAATAACTGAAAAAAAAAGTGGACTTTTTTTTTTTTTTCACATTTATGAATAACTCTCTTGCTTGATGGAGTTGTGCGGGCATCCAAACAGGCCTTGGTTTGTTTAGCCATTTAAGGTAAATTCTTGATATCCATATCCTAATTCTTGAATTTTAGCCTGGTATCTATGGGATTGTCTATAAAGAGACCATTTATCTTTATTACAAGTAATGTTCATAAAAACGGACTGCCCAATGCCTAGGCGGTTTAGAAGGCCTGGGTGCATCGTCCAGGCCTAGGCGACCAAACTGGGCGATGGTCCCTGGGCGGCCCGCCCAGAGGTAGAAATGGTTTTTATTTATTTATTTATTTATTTTTAAAGATATAAAAGGTTAGAAGGAGGGGTTTTAGGTTCATTTAAAACCTAAACCCACAAGAACCCCTTTTAGAGAGAAAGAAACCTCCAGAAAACTACTTTTAATTGGATCGAAGTGTTTCTCAAAGTTTGGAGTTCGAGCAATCAAAGTAAGTGCAAAATTTTATTTTTTAGATTGCTTGTTTTATTTTGAAATGTCTCATTCAGGAGTTAGTCGGAGTGGAAATATGGATACAACCCGAATCCAAATGTCAAAAAGATGCAAAAGGAGGCATAAAATGGTTTAAGAAACATTTTGCCGATATTAAGGGGGATGTTGCTCATTGTAAAAATGTTCCTGAAGCTATTAGAGAGGAGATTAAGCAATATATAAGTTAAGTAAAACAAAAACGAGAACAAAATCCTTGCATAGATCTATTTCTGCTACTTCTAGAAGAAGTGATCCGGCTTGGAAGTATGGGTTCAACCCAAAACCAAATGATAAAAATTGTATAAGATGTAATTTTTGTGAAAAAGATATGGGGGTTTTAGCTAATTCTAAAAACACATTGCTAGTGTTAGACGTAATGTTGCTTCTTGTACAAAGGTTCCTAAAGCAGTTCGGGATGAGATTAAACATCTTCTGAAGTTAGAGGAACCAGAAAAGGATGAAAATAGGCCTTGTTCTATGGAAGTATCTTCTCCAAGTTCTAGTCAGAGTGGTGATCCTGGTTGGAAGTATGGTTATAACTTGAACCCAAGTGATAAAAATTGTATTAAATGTAATTATTGTGGAAAAGATACTAATGGGGGCATTTACCGGTTTAAAAAACACCTTCCCGGTATTAAGGGGGACGTTGCCCTGTGTAAAAATGTTCCTGAGGCTACCAGGAAGGAAATTATACAATATTTGAGTTCAAAGAAGCACAAAGAAAATGGTAGAGCAGTCAAGACTCTTAGGGCCTCATTTGCACCAGCTGCACATACTAGTAAAAGGAAGGTAGAAGAAGAGGAGGAAGAGGCAGATTCAGAAGAAACAGAGGAGGACGAGCTTTTTATTGAAGAGGGAGATGACTCTGATGATGATGGCCTCGACTCTGATGCATATGATGAGGCTTGCCCTATTGATATTCCTTCTGATGATGATGATGATGACGACTAAAGACTCTTGCCTCTTGGTGTTGAGTGTTGACTGTTGGGTTGAGTCATGAGTGTTGACTTTTGTTAGACTATATATTTTCTAACTTTCTGTATATTTCTATTGTGTTGAGTGTTGACTTTTATATCCTACACTTGTATGGTTTTATAGTTTACTGTTTTAACAATATGGATTATCAAAATTCTCTTCTCGATGTCTATCTTTTTTTTTTTTTCAACTTGGAATGTGGTATATTGGTATGATTTTTCAACTGGGCAGCCGTCCAGGTTCTGGGCGCCCGCCTAGGCGTTGGGCGGCCTGGACCCCCCAGGCCGCCTAGGACCTGCCTAGCGCTTTTTAATACACTGATTACAAGGAGGTCACAACTATTCCAACTCATTGGATGTCAAATTGGATGGCTTGCGGTGAGTCACGAAAGCCGAGAAATTGTTTTTTAGAATTTTGTATCTATTCAATGACACCCTTACAACCACCCATTTTGAAATTTAAAGGACAATAATGATTGTGACTTCCTTGTACAAAAAATAAATGGTCTCTTTGTAGACAATCCCTGTATCTTTCTAGTTGTTTTCATTAATTGTCAAGTATCTACAGTGTCTGATAAATTTATATTTTATCGAGTCATTTGTGCAAGTCGGTCTTTATTTATGGAATCTGTTCCACTTTTGGTTGAACTGCTTTGTGGTGCCTTTTGCTTTTGGCCGGTGTATGTCCTCCGCCTTGCAGGACTTTATTGCTTTCCTTTTCCCTGATTTTTTTTTTTTAGCTATTGATTGGGTTTTGAGCTCCTTTTTTTTCTTATTTGAAGAAGATTGGTTTTAAGATCCTCCTTATTAATTCCTTGAACCTTTTTCTTATGTTTTCTCTTTTGGGAATCTAAGTCCAATTTCTATAACTTCATTTACTTTTGATTCTTTTCACTGAACCATGTCAGGTTTATGTAGAGACATTCTTCTACTATTTTTGGATATGTTTGTTCTCCAATGTAAGTTTACTGGTCTAGAGTTTAAAATTTCATTGTGCTGCATGCTGCTCCGTCATTTCTCTAACAACTTTAGTCACTAAAAATCTAGGAATGGAGTTTTAAGCTGAGTGCTTGTTGTGTTTTAGTATGTACGGCCTGCTTATCAAATCCATGCAATTGCTTTTCATGGCTGAAATGAATGCTACTTATCGGAGTCTTACAGGAAGAGGAATACATTGAAGGGAGTCAACCCCAGATAATTTGATTGAGAAAGGTCATTTTGGACTTAGCAGCCATTTGTTGGCTTCTCTATGCATATAGGTCCACCTAACCTCAATTTTGATTTCCCATGAGTTCACCCAGTATCAGTTTTACCTTTTAGGTGCTTTAATGTTTGAACATCATTTTGAAGCTCTTCCTAAAATCTGCCTTGGCTGTATCTATGGGCTTTATAAGTGAACACCATTTTGGAGACCGAATGTCAGCATGAAATGAGCGACTTCAAGTTTCTTAGGGTATTTTGGGAAATTGTGGATTACTAGAGGTATATTATTATAATGAATTGTTGAGATTTGATCAAATCAAGGGTTGGGATTATGTTTTATGGTTCTTAGTGGGCTTTTCTATTTTCTGATTGACATCTGTGGGGTTTTTTGGATATGAAACGGTTGTTAGCTGTGGTGTTTACCCTTAGCTGCTTGCTGAATGCTGCCTTGTGGCACTATAAAAGGATTGGATTAAAACATTTGACCCTATACAATTTGGGAGGAGCCATTCTTTAGTGTTAAATAAATCTATAATAATATGGAATTACCTATATCCATGACATCTCTCTCTCTCTCTCTCTCTCTCTCTCTCTCTCTCTCTCTTTCTCTTTCTGTGCACACATTTATGTCTACGTGCTTATGTATGTATATGTACATAAAGTAGCTGTTTTATTGTAAAATAAGATCGTTTCATTCTCATATTCCCCAATAAGAATGAGAATGTAGCCCTGGGAGTCCATAGATAAGCAAATAAGCTCTCTCTTTCTCTCACCTTGAGGTTTAGTGGTTGAAATTTGCGCCTTGTTCTCATGTAGGTACACCATGGACAGAAGAGGAGCATCGGTTGTTCTTGGTTGGTCTCCAGAAGCTTGGGAAGGGGGATTGGCGGGGGATCTCCCGCAAATTTGTGACGTCAAGGACGCCAACCCAAGTGGCTAGCCATGCTCAGAAATATTTTATCCGCCAGAACAATGCTTCTCGTAGAAAGAGGCGCACCAGCCTCTTTGACATTGTTGCAGATAGGGTAAGCTCTATAATCCATGCAGCTATATATATTGGAATATTTGATAGGTCTTAATGGGCCTTCTAATCAATTTTGGGTCAATAAGTAATCATTCTTTCGATTAATTTATTTGTTTAATTTTTCTGGGTCGCCTTTCAAATCTAAATTTCTGTTGGATCAGCTTTTCATGTGAGAATGTTGGTAGCCAACTTTTTGCACTTGTAAAAGAATGCTATCAATTGCACTTTGCATGTTATTTTTATAATTTTTACTTTTTCTTTGAGTAATATTTTTTGTACCATTATTAAAAAAAAATTTACACAATTATTTAAAGTATTTAAGGTAATTAAGGTGGAATATTGTCCTATTGCAAAATTATTCGAAATGCTTTACAGGTATTTAGGATTTGGGGGCTGTTTTGATTACTTGTCAGTTCTCATGGTAGAGTGCGATTTTGGTCAATATCCATGTTCACGCTGCAAACCGTAAAAAAATTCATATACATGCAGCAATGCTGGACAAATATGAGAACATTGAAAGACTGGTTCTGATTACTTAACTGTACTTGTATTTTTGTGATACTTAAACCACATAGACACCCTCTTAAAGTTCAGAATGATCCCGAGTAAATGTTGTAGAATACCCAAAATCGTTATCAAGATTCTGGAGTATACAAGAAGACAACTATTATCATAGTGCAGTTGGCGATTTGACCTTTTCATATTGGCTTGTTTGTTGCATCTATTCATGTTCGGATGCTCTGTGTATGCATGCGTGTTTGCCATGTGTGTGTGTGTTTTTGTAAATGTTTGCTAACTTGAAATCATTTGCTCTTCCCTCATTTGTGTTTGTTTTGATTTGCTACTCTCTCTCTCTCTCCTCTTCCCTCCTCCCCAATTCATCTCCTTCGCACATTTGCAGTCAAATGACACCCCGCCTGTTCCAGAAGAGGATTGCATGCATGAGGAGGCCATAGATACCACTGACAATGGCCTCTTGCCCTTGCGCCTGGCCCCTGACTTTGAGTGCGAATCAATGGAATCGACGAATAATACAAGAGAAATAGACACGGTCGAATCGCCTGCGTGCCCCTTCCCCATGATGTTCCCTGCCTTCTACTCTCCCTATGTTCCAATCCCTGTCCCATTTCCATTCTGGGCCCCTGCAACCATGGCACCAGGCTTAGAGAAAGAAAGAGAAACTTTGGGTCCGGAGAGAGAGAGAGAAACACATGCAGTGCTTAAGCCTACAGCTGTGGTGTCAAAGAGCCCAATCAATGTGGATGAGCTTGTGGGTATGTCGAAGCTGAGCCTTGGAGAAGCTCCTGGCCAGCCTGGGCCGTCGGATCTGACTGCAAGGCTCCTGGGTGGGCCTGCAAGGCAATCGGCTTTTCATGCTAACCCTGGAGCGGGACTCGGTGCTAATGGCGGAAGTGCAATACATGCTGTTTGAGTGGTGAATTGGGGGATTGGATTCATTGGTTCTCTCTCTCTCTCTCTAACTTTGTTCTATCTTTTCTTATTTTTGGATCATAGTTGTTGGTTGTCTCCTCTCTGCAAGAAGAATTTGGGGAGGGATACATATATGGGGATCATGGTTTTTATTCTTCTTTTTTTCTATTTTGTTGTAATGGAAGGACAAGTTCATGGGAGTTAGGGAAAATGGACTGCAGATGTAGGTTTCGGGGTTTGATTGAATAATCGAGTATTCATACAGTTCCTTCCCCCTCTCTCTCTCTCTCTAAGTGGTTGAGGATTCACAAGCGAGAGTCAACTGTATAACGCCTATATTATAAGGATCATTCACTTTTGGTACAAGGTCATAATTATTTCTAGTCATTTGATATAAAATTCTACAGTGGGTGTTGGGTTTGGTGATAGCTAAATGACAATACTTATATTTTTGTCTAAAGATAAGGCTGTGGATGTAGACCTACGGATGAACTACGTAAATCGTGTGTTGTGTGTTTTTTATGTTTGTTTTATTTTTCGTATTCGATTTATAGTTGTATTCATTTATTTTGTATTTAATCAATTATGTACACGATTTTGAGTGGGATTTCGGTGCTTGGGATTCTCAGTTTCGCAAGCTAAGGGGTTCTCGAGATCCTACAGTGGGGTGGGTCATAAAGATCGATCCCACATTGTTAGTCATTTAATTTCACATCTAACAATTAATAGTAATTGTGTCCTTTTTATATTAGAATTATATAGCTTTATCGATACTTTTTCTTTCAATATTAACCTATTTTGATTCAGTTTGGTTATTGAGATCTTGGACAATCGGTAGATACTCCAATCAAATGGTAAAAGGAAAAATAATGGATGTGTTGTTTATGAACCTAGTGAATTTGTCAGGGGAAAGGAAAAAGTTCCTGCAAGACCTCTTGATAAAAAGTAAAGAAAGCAGCGCTTCAATATCCTATGGAAAATTGGAGTTTTGGTAAAGTAAAATTTTCAAATTGATAATTTTGACATTGACGGTTATCTAACAAAAAAATGATGGATTTTTTGCTCTAAAACTAGTGCGTCTTAAAGTACCAGCATATCAATGGCATTTGTGCCATTTTTTAAGTTTTCAATTTCATAATCAGGGTTGCCACATTTGGCTTTACTTTCTAACACCGAGGAGGAGGCTGGTAGAGAAGGCTGCAATTCTTGCCTATGGTTCTTCTAAAACACTTCTGTGCCATTTTTGAAGCTTTCAATTTCATAATCAGGGTTGCCACATTGGCCTTTACTTTTTAACATTGAGAAGCAGGCTGGTAGAGAAAGCTGAAATTCCTGCCTACAAATGTTCTTCTATTTCTTTCCTAAACACTGAGGAGGAGGCTGGTTCTTCTATTTCTTTCCTAAACATTGAGGAGGAGGGTGGTAGAGAAGGATGGTTGTGGGCTCATCTTACCTTCAAAGATTCTTCTATTTCTTTCCCTCCACACATTTCACATAAAAAGTAGTTTCGGCATGGAACCTCTTATTATGAATAGCATGTGTAAGCCACTATTCGGACAAGTGAGACATTGTCTTTGGGATAGTCAGTTGCAGCCCAATCAACTACAAGGCCCAGGCCCATATAAGAGTTGGTCACAAATTTCCTCATGGTCTGTGTAGTAAGTACATGTTGTCAAAATAAGACCTCTTTAAATTATCCATAGTAAGCAGTTTGCTGTGACATAATATTTATACAAATGCCTGTGCCTTCTACTGACTGATCATTTCTCTGCAGGAGGTTCTAAACCTGTCGTGGTTAGATAAGCAGGCTAAAAGAACTGGTTTGAAAAATGGTCTGACATTAAATGGTCTGACATTCTTCTCTATATACATCGAATTTACCACTTAAGAATGACTCTCTCCCACGATACCGCATAAGATTGTGTACAATATGAATGCTCAACATTGGAAATATTGTTCATCTCAACCAACAGTCTCAAGAATTGAGAATAGACACTTCTGCTGTGTATTTTTATGCATGCAATACTTCCACATTTTCCGGAGTGCTCATTTTCTAAGAAAAGAGAGTACATGTGTGAACGATCATGGAGTTTCAGAATTTGGCCTTGCTCCAAATTTTCAGTAGGTAAATGGTTTGGGTGCTTTAAAGTTGGTGCTCAGTCTTGAGGAATATGGAAGACCTTCTTTTGAACCCCTTCTCTAGCATGTCTGATATAGCTCTCTATAAAACCAAAAATTGGGAGCCTCATCAGAGGAGACTCGTACTAGGGAGCAATTTTGAATTTCCCCCTGGAGTGATTAAAATCCAAGACTAATTGGGGTCCTGACCTCAAGTCGACTCGCAAGGACACGGTCTGGCTCAACAAAGTCTTTATGAAAACACATGGAGTACCCAAGACTACTGAAACTTATCTCAGATTCAATGTTTTCCTCCAAATGTGGTACCATGTCGAATTTGAGTTACTCTTCTTAAGTCCTGACTTTGTCACTGATGACTAGAGCAAGAATGTTTCTTCAAATTTCCGTTTTTGTATTGAGTTACCTTTATCAATAGGGTGTGTATACCATGCTCCAGTGGAAGGACAATATATCTTTACCCCCTCGAGCAGAGACTTGGTTTCGAGGATTCTTTTGATCTGAAATTTTGAGAACCACCTAAGAATCCCTGAATGATTATTGTAAAAAAAAGTTAGGCATTTGAGTTATCTAACACGTAGATCTCACCCTCCAAAATTTGGACCATCTCCATTCAATCTTGAGATGTCATTTTCTTCGTGTGCATAGAGAGTGTAATTTGGAAATTTTGTTTATTGAGGTTAGTATATATGTTAAAGAGGTTACATCCCAAAAAAATTGATGTCCTAAAAATTCTCCTAGATTGAGGTTTACCTGAGGGAATGAATGGACAATATGCTCTAATGCACAGGAGCACAAAATCTTTTGCCTTATCAATTTCTTTCTAGAGCTTATAAATTGGGAGGACACAATGACTTCATGAAGTAGGGACCACATTAAAATTTCTCGAAAAGGGTACAGTGAAGGTAAGGTCATACTTCTCAAAAATGAGAAATCTAGATCCACATGGTAGAGTAAATTGCCCAAAAAAATAGAAAATGAAAAAATCACAAATTTGGACTATTTTGTTATTTTAAAAATTTATACAAACCCTCAAATATTTTATTCTCTTTCTAAAATTAGGTCCAGTTGAAATTTGGAGAGTACATGTGCCTAATTTTATATAAAATAAAATGATCAAACTAACCCTCAAAGTTTCAAGGGAAAAACTTCATTTTGTTTTTTACATAGAAATTTTTAATAATTTTAGTGGTGCAAGTTATTTAGATGTCTAGAAGAATTTCAAATTCTTGCAATATACACAAAAACTAAAATTGAAATCCTCTAGATCATCGAATCCAGATCTCACAATTGCGATCAATAGTATTTTAGGTTATCTATGATGTAGAGTTTCGGAGGTGTTTCCATCATTCTATTTTTTTAAAAAAAATATATTATATTTTTCCAAGAATAATCATAGGCTTCTTCTAAAACTTTAGCTCAATCCAACCTAAAAAAAAAACATTGAAGTACTCAGATTTGCTCTTAACCATCCAAGGGGAATTTTCAATCATTATGTTTTTTCAAATTAGTTTTCTATATTTTTCATAGGTTCTGATGGTGAGAAATATAGAAACTAAAGGTATTAGCTCAATTTGACTCATGAAAAAAATAAAATAAAATAAATTCAAAACACTTAAACTTGTTCTCACCTTATCATTTTTTTCTTTTTCTTTTTAAATGATGTAAGAGTGTCAAATTCGCTAGACCTACCATGGATAAGCTATAGTTTTGAAATCTCATTCATTTAACAAACATTACCCTATCACTAACCATAACTTTAACAAATGGTTGAAATAGGCTAATTTTCAAATCTCTTAATTTAATGAATTTCAGCTTGAACCAAAAACATAGTTTTCCAAAATCCCCTGAATTCTGGATTGGTTAACCAAACATAGTATTTTCTATTACCCGATACTCAATTTCCTGCCTTCTAGATTTCATAATTGGAAATCTCCAATAGGTTCCACTTGCCAAAACTCCCCCAAAACTAAAGAATATTTTAAATGAAGAGCCAATCAAATAATATGGGCCCATATTTAGTCAATTGTTGGTGGTTATGGAACCCCGATGACAAAGATAGTTGAAATGTGCTATATTTATGGGAAGCCACATGAGCTTGGCTTTCATAATTATTTCTCTTTATGTGTTTATTTTTTTATCTATATATTTAGGTTGGTTTCCATCCTTCAAGAAACTCACCTTTCTGAGATGAATGTTTCAAGCAAACTTCATCATCAATGGGTTTGAAATAGATGGGTGAAACAGGGCAATAAGATAGTACCATGACCAACATTTTTTTTGTTTGTGAGGAACTCAAGATATTCTGTTTTTAGGCACGATTTTTTACTTTTTCAAGACAATGTTCGTCCTTTACTGAAGAAATTCAACGTGATTTAAATTCTTAGGTAAATTTGATCTTAAAAAATAGAAAAACAAAAGATTGAAAGCTCGACTTGCTTGTACAATAAACAAACATAACAAGATCCGAAGAGCTAGATGAACTTTTTTTGTGAGAGAGAGAGAGAGAGTGAACAAAAGGGACTTTTGCTAGTTGCTCCCAAGATAATATTTTCTGTCTTTGGTATATATAGAAACAAAAGATTGAACACTTATCTTGTATATATAACAATGCATTAGGGGAGCCTTTCTTTAAAGGGAGAACACGAAGAAAAGAAATTTTTGCTAGTTGAATACTTTGTATCAACTCCTCTCCTTTAAAGTAAAACCAAAGTAATTTATGGAGAACTGCCCTTTCAGTTTCGAAAAATTGTTTCATGCTGTCTGGACCACATTTCTACATATGTGGTCCAGAAATTGTAAAGCATCCATGTTAAAGATGTATGCAAATAGGCGTTCCATCTAAAAATAATGGAAACTAATGGTCCAAGTGTTTTCTTACTAGAATTATTATTTTTTAGTTTTTAAATTTTATTTATTTATTCATTATTCATGATCTCTACGTTAGAGATTACATATCTTTGAAATTTAAGTCTTAAAAATCCATCTAAAAAATAGATTAATTAAGAGGCCCATATTTCTACATATTTAGGCTTGGCCGCAAGGTCCTTCAGTTTCAGTGAATACTATGTACCCACTCGTTATAACTTTATAACTACGCATTGAGCAATTGTGCCTATTCATTCTTGCTCTCTCGAAGACCCGAAACCATAATCTATGTAGAGGGAAGTGCACTCTCAGTTTCCTTGAACATACCACACAGTTATTATAACTAATGCTGAGTTGTGCTTCTTTCATT